AAAAAAAAAACAGAAACCTTTCATCAAACACACCTCAAAATCAACATTGTTAACTGCACGTGCCTTAACTTCCGATCCAAATAAAACCATACATTTGATAGTGCGATTATTATACTCCCAATAATTAAAAATCCGACCTGAAATTCTCTAACGTGCAGACAAGGAATGATTTTTGAAATACAAATCTTAAGATCATAAAATCATTTTGGACTTTTCTTTGGATTCCGAGATTTTCTAAGGTTGGAGTCGACATCGCATAAATTAAAACTTCAAAAACTTCTGCCCCTATCTCATTTTGTTTAATCTACTCTAACTTTTCGTTTGACACGCGGAATGCTCATCAGGTCAAAAAAAAAAAATCTTCGCTCTTCCAAGCCAATGATTACCTGCAGCAATCCGAGCTGATGTCCAAGCGAACATTGCAGAAGCCACGGTCGTAAAAAATCCTCCCAGATCGTAGTTATCAACGAAAGTAATGAAAGAACGGTACCAAATGAAGCCATAAGCACAAATACGGTAGCAGAGAGTATTGAGAATAGACTGTAACTATCAGAATGTTCCTGGAATGAGGGCGGAATTTCCCAGCAGTACCAGTTGACTTGATTGACGAGCAATTCCGGTGATAATACTGCTCCGATCATCAGAACACCAAAGATCACCAAATGAATGCCTAATGATTCACGCAAACGGTGACACGTCGATAATGAGAAATACTGCTGAAACAACTATGTTTTTATCAAGTACAAAAATTTCAAGATCTATTAACCTGGAATCTTTGAAGTTACCAAGATACAGTCTACTGTGCTGTCTTCATGTTCAGACTGGTCTAGATCCCCATTTCAGGCCTAAGCTCAACTCTTTGGGCGCGGAAGAAGAATACAAGTGACTTAACGGATCTAAAAATTCCTCTTCAGATATTTTCCTTTCGCCTTTTGTCTGGGTGATAATTTTTTTCTATAAATTGCATAATTAACTGATCTAATTTTGCGACTGTTTAATCTTTACTTTCGTTAGACGTTGCCATTCCTACCTCTCAAATCAATTCCAAATAAAATTCGTTATTTCAACATAGGCCCAAGCTTAGCGCTCGGTTTAGAATTAGGTCTGACTATCATTCAATTACCTGAGCTGATTGTATACTCTTTCCTATTTTGATCTTCATGGATCACCTCTCAGGTTCAGTTGTCTCATAGGAATGCAAAAATATTCGGAATTCAAACATCCGGTTTACAAAGAAACAACTTAGGGTGCCTACTGAAATAAATAGCAACGCGCACCAGACTAGCCGGTGCGATCATGCGTTCTGTGCAATTCAGCCCATCG